GCAACGGCAGGGCATCCGGCCCATGGTGTTCCACAGTGTGAGCACAGATTTTAACCATGAGATCCGCAACACACGCAGGGTCTTGCAGCCCAACTTCCCTGTCAACGATGGCCCGCCCTGTTGGGCTCATCAACACCCGTGCGCTAAAGCCGCACTTGTGGAGTGCCTCGACACGACACCACCAATCTTCGAACAAATTGAATTGCTGAAAGAGGCACAAGTTGATATTCGTAGGATCGAAAACGAGCGGGGCAGGAGCTGCCTCATGACCAGCGAGGGCTATGGGTGGGTTGCGCTTTTGTCGCAGGTTCTCTTCGGCGCCAGTCCCCCACTCAAAGCGGCCTCCATTGGCTGACTCAAGCCACCTAGTCAAGTCCAAGAACTTGCCAGTGTCCACTGTCTTCTTGCTTGGAAAATTTGGGTCTAGAATGGGTTTGGATTCAGGACCATACAGAAGAAGAGTTCCGTCCAACGCTCGGAGTCGGTTTTGAATGCGGTTGTTGTTCCCCACACCAATCCAATGCTGATCTGGCCAGAACGCGTGAGGCAAGGATTCCACCATGCTAGCAAAGGCTTTCATCACAAAGGCACACGTCGGAGACTTCCCCGCGTTTGGATCGCCGGTGGGGCATGCCCACCACCGCGCTTTGCATGTGAATGATTTTGACTTGTCCGCGTACAGGGCGACCTCTAGAGCCTTGTTCTGACAAGAGGCCAAACAAGCTCGGAAAAGATCGAAAGCAAAAATGGCCGGGAGGCCACATCCTTCGTGCAAGTATTCGCACGCTACTGCCAAAGGAAGGAGAGTTGTCTGGCCAAGAGAACGCGGAAACTTGGCGGCTTGCTCAATGGACAAATCCAATCCACGAAGGTTCTGAATAGATTTCAAAGACTCGACCAAAATTTCACATAAACTATGCTCTGCGATGTATTGAGAATATAGAGGCATCCTACCCCAAAAACCACTGTCCAAGCCAGCGTCTCCTTTGGAATTGGCAAGTATGGAGAACCACGCATGCACTTCCCCAGCGGGGTCGTCAACATAGCAGGCCATGCCCATGCGCCCGGGCAGGGTGTCCTGATCACCGGAAGTCAAGGTCTCTTCCGCCTTGTCACTGGCAGCAGCGTGCGAGGAAGCAGCACCATGGCGACTGTGCAAACGACCGAGTTCGGCGGAAGCGGCAAAAGAAGGTGTATGCATAGTCCAAGAAGCAGGAGGTCTAGGCACAAGCGGCAGCGCAGGAGCGCCGACACCAGAAGTGAGAGCTGGAACATGAACGTCGGCCAATGACAAAGCAGGAGCTGGGAGCGCATCAGGAGATGCTACTGGCACACCGGGACATGGAGAACCATCCTCACTGGCAGAATGCACAAGATCAATGTAACCTGGTTCAACGCGCGTGTGCCGCCTGTCAGACGCACATGCCCAATCCAAGGCAGCGTCAAAATCGTCGCAAAACCGACGGGCCGCTTCTCGAGCAATTGGAGCCGGGACACCCACAACTAGCAGGTTCCAATATGTGGACGACGACGCGTGCACTGGAGGTGGTGTGTCCCCAATCATGCCTCCATGAGCCTCTGGTAGGTTCTCCGTAGCTGGACGCCACTTCGGGAAGAAAGGCAAAGAATTGGAAGCGACCTCATGACGATGTTGCATTGTCTTGGGCAACCATTTTGGGAAGAAAGGCAAAGAAGTCCAAGTTGCAGAAGCCTGACGGTGCACGCAGTGTTCCAGAGGGCCAGAAAAGATTGGCTCTCCCATGGCTGGAGAGGAGACAGACTCGGACCGTGACACGGTAGCTTCCTCAACATCAAAGGGCCATGTCGGTGACACGGTAGGAACACAAGCAGGCACATTGAAAGACGCAAAAGCAGGACTTACATGAGAAGCAGGCAGGCTTTGGGGCAAAACTTTTGAGGGCAAAGTGAACGCCGCCGTTGACATCGCTGCTGAACAGGATGCGCGACGGAGCGGAAACCTTGACCCAAAACAGATTCGACAGCATGGATTTTCGCAAGGCCTCTCGTTTTCGCCCGTCCAGGCAGGGCTGTCAACATCCAAACCACCTTCTGCTCGAACACCTAAACCGGTGGCAACACCGCTTTGCGACAACGGGAGCGAAGAGCTTGACATTGTAGGACATGAGGATTCGGGCACAGGTGTTACGGGATCAGTAAAGATTCCACTACCACGCAATCCAGCTTCAACCTTCGGCGAAATTCCACTATGCAGGCACGATGGATTAGCGCGATGTAGTTTGCAAGCCACATAATGCCCAAGTTTATGGGCATGCTTCTGTGTATATAACATAGCGAGTGTCTGGGGGCACGCATCCAGCCATTGCCCAGCTTCCACGAGGGAAAATTGCTGAGCATCATGCCCGGGCAAAAACAACAAGCAGGACCTCGCTGGCTTATGTAGGATCAAGAGGCCCTGTGGGTACCAACGGTGCAAAGCGGAGACTGCAATCTGAATGTGCTGTGTGCTTGTGACTGGACCCACTACATCTGCAGAGACATTGGCTTTCAAAACTTCCTGAATTGCATGTGCAGGGTTTTGCTTTGTGAGGTCAGCGTGCGAAATCCACCAGCAATGGGAAGCGGCACCATTTTCCATCGGGCAAAACAGCCAACCCGGCACGCAAGGAAACACGCAGGAACCAGGCAGGGCGCGATGAGAGCAGTCCAAAGACAATCGCTGGAGTCGCGACGCGGCAGAGGGCTGGCTTGCACCAAAACATGGCAGTAGAGCTCGCGCTGCGCGATTCCGCTCCTGCACAGGCAGGTGCCAGAAGAGTGCTGCGTGGGGACCTAAAACATTCATGATCGAGCGACAAGTCCAAAGAGGAGCCACTTGCGGATGCGACGAAAGCAAAACGGATTTGGGCCTGTGGATCTTGCAAACAGGTAAACCGGGATACAAAACCGGGCGCAAAGAGGAATCCCACGGAATGCATCCTGGTCCGACTGCAGTCTTGGTCGGAAAGCCAGAACGAGCCGAGAAGGAACCATGGCGCGCCAGACAAGGTGGACGCTGGGCAGACGGGACATCCAAGTCCAGAACAACCAGGCCAGGGTTCACTTGGAGATCCTTGGAGGACGCTAGCTTCAGGAAGCGAGCTTCAACAGCACCGCACTGGACAGAAACCATGAAAAAGCCGTCAGTAAGAGTAGTAGCAGAATCCACCAGGAAGACATCACCAGCACGAGCCATTGCAGAAGATTCATAGGAAGTGACGGCGTCAAACAAAACTGCAGTCTCACGGGCACAAGCAAGGGAGCAACGAGGGGCCAAATACGAAGGACCCAGCCAGAGTGGAGAGGACAACCTGAGTGCACCAAGCGGTAAATGTTCTTTTTGCAAGATGCAGCGCGAAGACACTAGCTGAGGACTTGGCAATGACACGGCTGGCATGTTTCAAACGAAGTGCCTGAAGCAGTTGAGAGCAGCCAGTTGAGAGCAGCATCCCTCTTATAAAAAAGGACAGAACAAACCTGGCCCTGAGGCGCTTGCTGCAGTCTCTTGGGGTCGCAATTGGCAGATTGGCAAATGGCTGCGAAAGTAAACAAATTAAGTGACTTTGCTTACAGCATCCGCGATGATTTTTCTTCTGTCTGTTTTCTGTCTTCTCTTTCTCTGGAACGGGTTTGGTGTTGCTGGTCATATTGCAAAGATCGTTGGTGTCTTTCTCTCCTTCTAGTCTTCGAAGCCCAGGTGTTTTTCTGTTGGTGCATCGTTCTGCCTGGCACTGCCTTGGATTGAACTGGCCCTGGGGACGATTCCGGCACGTCTTCGCTCTACCACTTGCCAGTTGTAACGTCATGTAGCAAGCGACCAAGGCTGCATCTCTCCTTTCTGGCGACCGAAGCGCGCGGCTTTTAATTCGTTGTCAATTGTTTTCATTATTTTTCAATATCTAGGGGGCACAACGCGCAGCTATTTGCAGCATCTTAGACCTATATAATGGCCGCAAGGCGGAGTGAGCGAGTAATTTTTTGGACGAAATAACTTCGGGAGCACGACTGACACTTAAGAGAATCAGCTGGCGTAGCAAGCAAAGGGCATTAGGAGAAGTAGGGCGCTGGGCAATAAAATAGAGCGTGGTGGACCTTTACAAAAATGCCGTTTTCGTGGGAGTTTGGAGGACAGGTCCGCGCTTGGATGTTGCTGTGTGCAGTTGGTTGTGTCTGGGCGTTCTTGATATTTGTTTCTCTAACTTTCAGCGGTCTTTGTCGGGGTTGGCTTGCAACTCACTGGCTGACTTGAGTAAGCGATCTCGGCAGCACGCGCCGCCTACTGAATTATGACGACGCCAATGCACACACCTCACTCGCGCGCTCAAAAAATAACTCCCTTGCCCGCTCTGGCGCCTGCCTCCTTTGTGAGCCACAGGCGCGCTACCTTGGCGTGGCTCCTTCCTCCTCTAAATTTGGTTCTTGGGCGGCTCACAAAAGGACTGACGCCTTCCTCCTCCAAGTTTTGCCCTCGGAAGGCTTACCTTGGAATGGCCGCTTCCCTCCTCCAGGTGGCTCACAAAAAGGTCTGCTACCTTCGAATGGCTCCTAGCTCTCACCTGAATATTGCCTATAATGCGTCCTGCAAGCAGTTCATGTAAGCACTGCTCTACTTCAATGTCTACTTCAATTTATTTCGTTCTTTGTGTCTTTCGCTCTTTCTTTCTGTGTTTCTTTCTTTCTTTCTGTCTTTCTTTCTTTCTTTCCCTCCTTCCTTCTCTCTTTCTTTCTTTCTTTCTTTATTTCTTTCTGTCTTTCTTTATTTCTTTCTGTCTTTCTTTCTTTCTTTCTGTCGTTCTTTCTTTATGTCTTTCTTTCTTTCTTTCTGTCGTTCTGTCTTTCTTTCTTTCTTTCTTTCTTTCCTTTCTCTCTTCTCTATTGCTTCTTTTTATCCCTGCTTGTTGTTGTCTTGATCTCTACTTATTTTTTTATTGATACCTATTTGTTTTGTTATTGATCCCTCTACGCTCTTGCGGCCAGCACACCTGGTGAGGGCCGCATGTTCGGTCAGGGACCAGCCCGCCGCCAGCGAGGGGCGCAACAAGCTCTGGCGCGCCTCGCGGACCTCTTGAGGCCATGCCTGCAGTGGATGGTCGGTCAGGCGCCGCAGGCTGAATGAGCAAAGACGGGAGCAATCGAGGATGGAAGTTATGCCGGGCCGGAGGAAGTCAAGGACGGTCACACGAACATGTCGATGTGAAGTGTCTTTGGTCTATCACCACCGGGTTGACCCCTCACAGGAACAGATTCTGGAAAAACCGCGCGGTTTGGTGGGAAAGGTGACCCAAAGTCATCTTGGATCATCTTGGATGCCGAAAGAATGCGGCTGCAAAGCTGAGTTTCAGGTAATTCATCTCTAATGTCCCAAGAATTCCGATCTGATTGGTGTTTGTTTCACCCACTTGAACATATATTAGTCAGAGGGTCCAATCATCCCCAAGTAAGGGTGGGAAAACAAATATATCCAAAACCATCACCGATCGCGATCATATATAGACTCATATACCATGTCCCCTAGGGATCCAAGTACATCCTCAAAAGGTACTTGGACCCTCCAAACCCACCCCAGTCCCACCTTCTCAGAGGGTACTTGGATCCTTAGGGGTATATAAGATGGATTTGGTCCAGGCACCGGGAAATCACACCGGGCTTCACCATGATTCACATCTATTCAGCAGGGATTCACCCAGATGGAAACCTGTCATCCCAGGCGCAACTGGGTCTCGTACCGAACCTTAGGAGGTGAGCAAGACAGGGCCCAGTCATACCTATTGAGAAGGCTTGTGGATCCCGAACGCGAATGAAACATACACAATCACGGACCGTTTTTGCCGCAAAACCCCAGAGACAACGGACCTGATCCGCCTCGTCGGTCAGCAGTCGGATGTGTTGCTGCAAATTCTCCCGCAGGTCGCCCCAGTTCCGCATGCGGCTGGTCATGGGGCAATAGAAACCTCGCAGCGTTGAAATGGATTGGTCAGAAATCCCCAAAATATATATTATTGACTAATATATAACGTACTTCAGAATATAACCTGTCTTGAATAGTGCTTGAAATGATTTGGTCTCCAATCACCTTCTGAGAAGGTACTTGGATCCCTAGGGATATACTTTATATTTGATTTGAATATCCACATATCCTTGCTGCAAGCTTGCAGAACCTGCTGGCAAGCACACTCCTCCAATTGTTGGTGCTTTCCAGTCTTTTTTTCCCATCTCTTGCTGCTAAACTTACTTCCTCCGCACAAGAGGCGTCCTGAAATTCCAGGATTCCATAAACAAGAAATGGATCGAAATGATCAAAAACACATCTACAGTATACATAATAAGGAGCGACTTGCAGGAAAGTGTCTTGTAACACCTTGTAACGAAATCTGGCTAAAAAGTATCCAAAGGTTCATATCGAACACCATTGGCAGCCGACAAAAATGAAGGACACTCGATCCAGTATAACTCCGTCCACATCTATGGTACCCCATTAAAACCCCCCCCATTGTCTTGCCCGTCCCGACCTGACCCCAAGGTCAGAACCGGTCTGCCTTGCGCGGTAGCGCGGGCTACCGCTGTTGGCCCAAGGCACTGAGTCCGTTGCATTGCAGCCAATCGTTGCGGGTCGCCGGTAACGCCCAGTCGAAAGTGGCCATCCATGGCCGAGTCGAGGATTGGTCGAGGCGTCGGATAAGAGGCGGTCGAGAGGTGGACACTGAGTCCTTTTGCTGGAGGTTGGGAGTAGCTGCATGATCTACATTGATCTACACTTCAATGCTGTTGTAGTTGGTGACAAGGTTTCATGGATCACCAGTTCTCAGTCGTTTGCAATTCCAAGGGGTTATTCGAAGAGTTTCCAGCAATTGGAACGACCTGCTATCCACCTAGGGGCGGAAGCGCATTTTCCCAAACGTGCATCACTTTTCAGACTGCAGGGTTGGAGTCGGGTTTTGCTTGGGTCTGGGTGTTCATTCTCCCGAAAAAGCACCAATTTGGTCCATTATCCATCTGCAGGGTTTGCAAACTCTCGGTCAGTAGCCTTCCGGGTGGGTGATACTCAACTTTCAATGTTCCGGGCAGGGTAAGCACAAAATGGCAGTGTACTCAACAAAGAGATCATTGAGATCATCCATAATGGACACCGAGTGAAGTTGTTCCTTCCAAAATCTGTGCAGGGTATATGTATAAACATGCTATAGCCCTCTTGCCCTCCTCTATATACCTGTCACAAAGAATAGCCAAATGCCTCGCATAAACATCATAGAGCAAAACTGCAAAACTAACTCGTGAGCGCGCGCCAGCGTGCAACAGCTGCAGGTTCACCTGGTAAACACACGTAATGGCTTGCTTTTTACTTTAAACATCAAGCCCAACAGCCTCATAACTTGAAGCTAATTAAGCCATTTGCTTGCTAAAGAACGGCATCAGCTGCTCAGCTGTTGTCGAAGAGCATTGGCCTTTGAACACACCCACTGTGATCTAGCGCGTGCTCTTGAGGTCCAGGAGAGCCCACTGCAATCTGGCGTTTGCTGTTGAGGTCGAGGGGTGCCCACTGCGATCTGGCGCTTGCTGTTGAGGTCCGGGAGTGCCCACTGCGATCTGCCCTTTGCTGATGAGGTCCGGTAGTGCCCACTGCGATCTGCCGGAGAAGGCACGGGATCCTTTTCTATAATCTAACAACCCTCACCTGAGAGGTGTGGAATAATGTTGTGTCATTATGTTCATTCCTAAATGACCATCACGTGTATATCATGCAATGACTCACCATCAATTTAAACCAATCCACATCTTCTTTATTGTGTGTGTGTGTGTTTTTTTTAAGCGCCCGCTTCACGCGCGCACTTCAAGCTGACGCGCGTGCAATGCACGTAGCAAGACTCCTGCGCACCCGGCTTTGGGGCACGATTCTGACGAGAAAATCTGGGATGGGAAACCTCACCCCGTGTGACTGTGAATTGTTGATCACATGCAACCTAGCGCCATATTTGTTTACAGTTTACAAGCGGATCTCGGAGATCCTCTCTCGGGTAGTGATCAAACCAGGTTTCCCATCACGCCGTGTGGCCTAACCACAAAACAATACAAAACACCTTGGTCACCAAGGCTTTCGTGGTCCAGCAACAGCTCCTTTAGACGAGAGAAAGCGTATTCTTCCAAGGAATCGTCAGATCGAATCACGTCGATGACTTCAAGTAGATTAAGGCAAACTTTGGCGGAAACATCATGCAACAACAATTGAATTCTCGATGTATAGTCGCTCTGGATCTCAGCACCCTGCAGGAGTTCAAGTACCTCATTCTCGTTGTTGAACGTCGAGTCTCCACATCAAAGGCTTTTAGAAAGTTCTTGGGACCTTAATGGAAATTGTGAAGTAAGGGACGCTTGGGGTAGCACTTCCTCGCTTGGGGTAGTGGCTGTTTGCACTGCACCAGCTGTTGCAACCAGTGCTCAACGCAATTCTGCTGCGGCAGCTAAGGCCTGTGACGTCCACGTTGACACGAACGTCCATGTGCAGCACGAGTCTGTCCGGCGTCGTGACAAGACTGGCGAAGAATCACCCCAAAGTGGATGAACTATATGGGCCACGGATGATTATAGGGGCGATCCACGGATGATGTGGAAGAACAAATGGCCGGGCAAAGGGCCACTCATTTTTGTGGAATCTCTCATGGAAAGACATGGTTCACCTGGCGATGTCCATCCAAAAAAGGCTTGCTCCAGGCAAGACAGGAGCCATGAGTTGGGTGGTCGAAGTGGACAATATTGATGGTTCTATAGGTTCCTATGGGGACAGTGGTGTACTGCCCCCTACAATTCACGAGCACCGTTTCCAATGTCGTTTTCCGCTCGGTGATTGGAGAATCAGTTTCGCAAATGAGGAATGTAGCTTCATGTAGTTTCGCATCCATGGAGAACCGTGGTTTTGGCATCTCGGTCTGCTTTGGGAAGATTCTGATCAAAGAGATTCTGGAATCTACTCTTGGTTGGCACATACAGACAATCCAAGTGATCTGAAAACAATCCGTGTGATCTGAAGGACACCATTACTTCACTTACTTTGTTTTTATGCAGTGCAGTTGAATTTAGCTATGGTACTATGCAGTTGGCAAACAGTCGGCCAATCAGCTGCAGCATGTGAGGGTGTCACACGTCGCTTCCTTTGGCGATCTCCCGCGTACGCGGGGGTGATGCAAAGATCAACACAGGTGGCTGTGCGATCATCAGCACTTGCGGCACAGAGATTTTCTGATTTGCTGCAGCAAACCTTACAAGGAACACACAATTTGGGTTCTTTCAAAGTCTTCCATGACAACCCCAAGGGGTTCTTGGTCTACCGGCACTTTTGGTTGGGTAGGGTCCAGGCATTTGGCAACTGTTGTAAAAGGAGTCCTGATCGTCCAACATGTTGCCTACTGAATCATCCCCTCATGGCCAGAAGGGCAAACATGAGCTGCGGTGAGCTGCGAATAACCCGCCGCAGGCACCATCTACTTCAACGCTCCCGGGCGGCGATGTACCAAAATGAGCATCTTCCGATGTCTTCCGATGTACGAAAAACCAAAAGATCTTGCTCCCAGAACGTCAGTTCTATTCCCAGTCCCAGAACCAAACAGAAAGAACTGACGACGATGAATCGCACGAGTCGCTTCATTTGCTAAGCTGGTGGTTCATCCTAGCCACTTATCCAGCCAAGGTGGGCTGGAAGAGTTCACCCAGAAATTTCAATATGTTTGTTGATTGTTGACCGAATGGCGACATTTGACTCGGTCATATAGAACCTGGACTCAACAGGACATCTCTTGAGTCTCTACGGCCCTTCTGGGTAGAGCTTGGTGAGCTACGCAGCTACGCTGTGCATGCGTGGCACCTTCTTTCTTGACTCCCACAAAGGTTGGAGACTTTGAGGTCCCCAAGTCGCTGCAAAACGGACCCACCTGACATGTCAACCAAGTCGCTGAGCGTTGATGACTTCACTTCATCAGCCGTGCTGCTTTCTGTCACTTCGGGCAACGACACCGGTGGCATCGACACCGTGCGTTGTTCGACACCCGCAGAAAAATGTCTCCATCTTGGAAGGCCGGCAAAGATGTTCGATGGGTCCCGTGGCCTGCTAACAGTGGACAATGACAGCACTCTTGGCTCTTAGTCGAGCAAAGGCGTGAAAGCCTCTGGAGGTTAGGAGAGGATCCTGATTGGATGGGGGAAGGACTGCATGAGCAAAAACCCGAGCAACAAATAAATATATATATATATATACCTCTCGCGTCGGACAGTCAAGCGTGTCGACGGTATGGGGGACACTCTGTTCCACACCATACGTAGATACCCCACATGCAGAAACACAGTGGGGAAAACCAAGTAGTCTACAAATGACCAAAAGTGATGCGCCATGAATCTATGGAGCGTCCAGCACCACAGCGCAAAGTGTGTGCTAAATTCAAAAGGGTGCAGTTATCAAGGTACGGCTTTGCCGGGTGAGTATGTTCACAGAGGTGGTGCACGTACGAAAAACACATCACTCAGAGGCCAACCAGGGCCTCAGAATCAAGTTCGACAGTATATCGAATAAACTGGGCATGTATTTTTCATTAGTCAGGCCTCCAAGCAATTGGTCTAGTCATGTTTGAGCCTATCTCAGTGTAGTCTTGTCATTGAATTGGTCACTGCCAAATTTCGGTACTGTCTGACTTGGTTTTCTACAGCGTCTCTCGTCCCACCGAACTCACGAAGAACACCAGCGGGTGTTACCGCGGTTTGCCCACCAAGCAAGCTATACCTCTTAGAACTCGGATGCAGTCTTTTCTCTCAGGATGCTGGGCAAACTGGGAGACCAGAAAAACGGATATATCCCGGGATAGAGCCGGAACATATGGGCCAAGAGCTTGGACAGAAGATGTTCACATTTCGGGACACGAATTAGAAGATCATGTTGCAACATCACTGTTGTGACTTATAACAATAGTGCTCCCCTCAAACAAGAATGGATTTGGGATGTCCTCCATGTCTGGCGCCTTCCAAGGATGGACGGTGAATCAAACGTCGCACGTCGTCTCACCGTTGAGATCGTCTTCGCGGCGACGAGACGTCTCGCGGCTCTTCTCGCGTCTTCTCGTCTGGATCGTCGAAGAGGTCCGTGCGATCGTAGAACCTCGGTGGAGCCGCTTTTCCGTAGCACCGAGGACTGAGTGGATGAAGGGCTCATTGGATCGATTGGATGACTCCAAATCCCCCAAGACGGTGTAGGAGAACTGGGTGTTGCTTCATTTGGCTCGCTTCCTGCTGAAAAAAAACAAACCTTCCCCAAGAAAAGAGCTGCATCGGTCATCAGTTCGAGCTGCTCAGTTCGAGGGGCCGAAGCACCGGGACTGGCCTGAAAAAAAACCTGGTTCCACCGGGTGTTGGGTGTGTACTGGACCCATAACATCTACAAAGGCCCGACTGAGGAAAAACACACTCTGACACTTGTATTCAGTGACTCAGTTACCACGTTGGGAAGGAAGGTGATGGAACAGCAAGGTGGAAAGGTCAGCTGAAACAGTATTGTTGAACAATGTTGGCACTCGCAAGCGGCGGAAAGCGAACCGGCTGCACAGCTGCTGGGGACGAATGTTTATGGGGTGGAAATCGTGAAGAACCATGAATCAAGAAGTGGAAAAGTGGAGTAACAGCTTGTGAAAGAACGAGCAGGTACACGGAAGTGATCAGCTTCCGCTTCCTAGGATCTTGCAAAGAGCTTCGTTGGGCAGAGCCTTGCAAGTCCTCTCTGCCCCCCTGCCTGTGGAAGGTGGTTGAAAAAGGTGGTTGAAAAACTGTGGAAGGAGTAGCGGTGGAAAACCCTTTGTCCAGGGGTGGACACACACAGGTCGCCGGCTTCGGCGCTTTTTCGGCGCGCATGTGAGAAAACTAAATAGTCACCTAAAAAGCCTTAGAAACAAAAGGAAAGAAAGACAGAAAGAGCAGCGCTAAGAGGGGAAGAAATGATAGGGGTAGTTACGAGGCCCACTAGTTACAAAACCTTCTAGTTACTGACTACCTAGCACTCTAGTTACTGAATACTTAGCGCTTGACTTGAGGGAACGGAAAGAAGTGCTGGGTCCGATCAACAGAAGGTTTCAACAAGAATTAGTTACTGACTACTTAGCAGGTCTTAATTAGGTGCAATAGTTAGGGAGCGGGACTTTAGTCTTAAACCGCCGGGTAGGAAAGACTAGAAAAGGAACAACACAGGGAAAGGCACCGACACACAAGTGTGTCGAGTACCATTTCCCTATGTTGCCCCAAATAGGTAGGGAGTAGAACTCAGCGGGGGGGGGGGG